CCCCCCCCCCCCCCCCGCGGCCCCATCAACCCCTCCAACTAACCTCCCCCCCCCCCAACCACCACACCACCCCTAGGTTGCCACTGGATATACGAAGTGATCAACATGATGCGTCGTCGAGAGGCCAAACTGACAGTGAACACAAAGGCTGAGGCGTTCATGGACGTTTGTCACCCCAAAATGTTGGACGCTCTCTCCTCCCCGCGCACCCTCAACTCGCACCTCACCTTTAGCCAGCTGCCCGCACAGGTAAAACTAGTCGTCTTAGTTTGTTTGTTTTTTGTAAGTGTTTTACGGCGCACGCAATTGCATATGATCATATGAGTGCGCAGGACACATTACACATTTTCAGTTGAACGGAAATTTTGAATTTTGCCAGGATGGCGACGGAAGCCTACTCTTTTTTCAACTTTAGACCACCAAGGAATCTTTAATGTGCGCAACTTGCACACCGAACCTCCGAGATGTTTTGCCCTTGGCCGAGAAAGCTAGGTGTAGATCTTTCCTTCCAGGAGATCAGGGATGTGGCTGTAAGAGGGAGCCAAGGAGAAATAGTCGCCTAGCTTTACCTGTAGCTGTAGCTCAGAATCTCTGCAATAAAGCACCCTGTCTCTTGTCATACTGCCAACATGGGTACTTTTGGTTCCGAGCCAGGTTTCTATTATAATGTCTTGCGCCCATCCTCTGTAAGGCCTCCCTCTTATTTTCTTCCCTTTATCTACTCCTCCATAATATAGTGCGATATAGTTATACGTTGCTTCCAAGGCTTTTCTACATTGAAACAATACTCTGTCTCTTACCATTCTGCATTTGTGTGTGTGTGTGTGGGTTGTTCTGGTTCCAAGCCAGGTTTCCATGTCCGAAGTGGCTAGCCGTACTTAAGTGCGGCTAGACTGAGAGTCTAGCCGTACTTAAGTACGGCTAGACTGCCAGTCTAGCCGTACTTAGATCTAGGTTTGGCCCTATTGACTCAAGCCTGTTAAGTACACAGGTCTCATTAGATCTAGATCTAGTAATTATTCAGGTTCAAATACATGCAAGTCAGTTTGGCACCTTTTGGTTTTGTCTGAAATACAAATACTTTAGGCATTGCAAACTAAAAATTTCATTTACAATTCAGCCATCAATATTAAGTACGGCTAGCCTGACAGTCTAGCCGTCCTTAAGTACGGCTAGCCTGGCTGTCTACCCGTACTTAAGTACGGCTAGACTGCCAGTCTAGCCGTACTTATCTTAGGCCCTATTAACATTAGAAAACAGAAGTTTAAAATAAATGCACTGTCATTAAGACACCTGGTTTCGTCTCAAATACACAAATACCTTAGGTACTGCACAATAAAAATGTATATTTACAATTCAGTAGGCCTATTTTTTGTAAATGGTCAGTCTAGCCATCATATTAAGAATAAGTACGGCTAGACTGCGAGTCTAGCCGTACTTAAATACGGCTAGCCTCTTCCTTCTATGTCTTGCGCCCATCTTCTGTTAGCCACCCCCCCCCCTCCCTGTAACAGTACCTTCAATTATCAACTACACTACTGTTGTCCTGGGTACACCATTCTGGCTCGTGATCATGGTCAGCGTAGTTTTTACTACTACTGTGGCGTCGGTGGCCTAGTGGTTAGGCTCTCGGACTTGCAACCGTAAGGTCGTGGGTTCGAATCCCGCCAGGTGCCCGACGTTGTGTCCTTGGGAAAGGTACTTTACACGAATTTATCTCACTTCACCCAGGTGGGAATGGGTACCCGGCTATAGACAGCGAAAGATCTTGTCAGTTTGTTAGTGTTTGAGCGCTTAATCAGCAGCTTGCACTGTATGCTTCCCGGGAAGCTGAGAATGTTTTGGAGTGCTCTGTGGTCTGCTGGGGTAAAATATAGTGTAAAACGCATAGAGCCTGCTGTTGAGCGGGGATGTGCGCTATACAAATGCTATTTATTATTATTGTTATTATATTATTATTATTATTATTATTATTATTATTATTATTATTATTATTATTATTATTATTATTATTTTTATTATAAAAGGAAACTTCACGTTGTAAGACTTTTTTGCAATTTTTACTAATCAACAACCGTGAATATGATGTTTCAAAACAAGGAAGAACTTTTCAGCCCCACAACCTACTGAAGGGTAACAATCGTCTACTATTTCCTTCAGCGCTGGCTATAACATTACTCGAATGGTGGCAATTAAGCAGTGTACAAAAGGTTCGATCGTCACTAGCCTTCGCCTAAGATACTCTAGTTCCTGTCTCTCTGCTCTCTTCTCTGACTGCAGCTGTTTTCGGACCTTTAGTCTTTAGTATATATGGGCTGCTGACGAAACGATCTCGCCTTGAGCGTTCAGAACTCAATAGTTACGTTCTGGGAGATTGGTATCTCCTTCCCCCAGTCCCCAAGAGCGTAATAGTATGGGCTTTGAACATGCCAGATCTTTGTACTCTCACGCGTCTATCATTAACATTTAAGAGTCGCTTCTCAATATCTTTGCTGGGGATCTTACAAATCACGGACTTAACAGATTTTGGGACAACAAGGTGTTATAAATATCCCTCCCCCCAACCACCCACGCTAAGATTCCCTGCTCGAAAGGATGCTGCTCAGGGCCGTGGCGTCCAGAATAACGCAGTGTATAATTACGCTTCATCTGTCCGTACCCATGGCGAGAGGATGGGCTTCGAACATGTCAAACTTTCATATTCTCGCGCTGGGCAGTGGCGTCCATGGCAATAATTGTGCCTGATATTTACGAGCCCTAGCTTGCTTAATAATAATAGATAATAGATAGCATTTTTATAACGAAAGCGCTTCACAATCTATACTACTTCCCTTTGTTACATACCTCTCTTGCCTTTTTTTTCAGAACACAGTAATTGGACGTTGCTTTCCGAACGTTCCTGCGTTAAAACAATCAGTGGCGGTGGGTAAACCAAAATTTGGATGGGGCTTCGGTTGCTTTCAGTTCTTTACCACCAAATAGCGAGCAATAAGAATTAAACAGTGATGATTTTTCTATACTCACGATGAGCCACGTCAGTTTGAGAACCATTCAAACGAGAAGAGTTGCCTTTGTTTTCCATCCAATCACTGTTGTCACCGCTTACAACTATAGTAACCCAGCAGCCAATCAAATGTCTTTAGGACAAAGATGAGCCCTTTTCCCACAGCCCGTCCTTAATGAAACTCTTCTTGTGAAAAGGTAGAAGACTGGAATAAAATAACACTGTACCGAGGGCTCACGCTCTCCTAGCCCTGACAATGGGGTGAAAGTTTACGACACACTTTCCCCCACTGACACAGATCATACCTATGCGCTCATTGGTTCTTTGTTGGGTGCGTTCAACTTCCTCGACTACACGACCTAATCCAAATCATAGAAGTATTATGTTTGAAGTGCTGTGTGTGCATGTTTGTGTTTGTGCCGCTGAGATTTAACAGTTATGAATCAGGTCGAACTACTTGTAAGGCAACTTTTTTATCACACGAAAACTAATTAGAGGAAATTTGAAGGTGAATCGGCTTCGTCCCCACCATCAACAAGAATTTAACTAAGAACAAAGAGATGGAAAACAAAGGCAACTCTCCTCGTTTGAATGATTTTCAAACTGCCGTGGCTCACCGTGAGTATAGACAAATCATCACTGTTTAATTCTTA